GAAACATGCGAACCTTTTTATCTGGGTATTTATCATTGAATGAACTAAAATTTTAATTCCTCATTGAGATCGTGTCCTCTATCCTGGGACCGTTGATGAAATACGAAACGCACTTGGGGGGAGGGGGGTCGAGGAGAGCGTTACGCCATTCGGTTTTTACGCATGAAAGGACAGGGACCTCCGTTACAAAAGCGTTACGAGAGGGAGAGGGGGTTAAATAGTCCGAAATTTAGAATTAAATATTTCATGAACGGCCTCTCACTATGTGGAGTGTAATTCCGAGAATGGGGCAGTTGCGCTGGTCACAGAATCGTTTTTTGATGCTAGATTCTTGAAGATCAGCAAAAAATAATATGAGTTGTCCAAACAGCAACTTTCTACGTTCCATATTAACTACGGTATCGCGCTTTGAAAAAGTCGGTTTATGACGTCATCCACCGTGGTAGTGACGCCCTTGCTTTCATCCAAGTTTCACGATGAGTATTTAGTGCAAATGCGTGACTCGTGCACTGAAAAAAAAATCTCGGTGTATTTACTGAGAAAAGGGTAAAATTACCAAGAATTCAGGGTTCTGTTTGATCCCAGTTTTTTCTTGGTAAAATTACCATTTATGGAATTGGTAATTTTACCGAGAAATCTCGGTAAAATTATCGACTTTCTCGGTAATTTTACTGGACCCCGGTAAAAACGCCAATATTTTTTATCGACTGTGGTAGAATTACCGAGATAAAGTGGCAAAGTTACCGGGAATTGATTACTAATAAAAGTGGTATTCTCACCTGAAAAAAACAGTAAAAATACCGGTTTTTAGATAAGCTTACCAGTCTGTCTCGGTAAAATTACCAATAATTGGTAAAAAAAGTGAGATGGTAAAAGTACCAACGGACCTTGGTAAAAACACCGAGAATTTTTTTTCAGTGTGGACTGATGAAAGCAAGGTGGAAGAAACCAAAGGTGTAACTAACGCGGAGGATGACGCCGTGAGCCGAATTTTCCAAAGCGCGATATCTCACTCAATAATGAAAGTAGAAAGTTGATGCTCAGACAGATCTTCTTATTCCTACCTGATCTACGAGCATCAAGCATCAGAACACAGTTCTTTGGTCAGCGAAACGGACCCATCCTGCCGAGTTAAAGAAAAACGCCGTACGAACATTCGAGAGTTGCCAAACTTTTTCGTTCATTTTTGGGGAAAGTTATGAACGGTTTTCCTCACACTTTTGAGGAACTCAAGGTGAAATTGCGAAAAAAAATTATCCGAAAAATCAGATGAGAGATATTCACAAGTTTACCAGGCAATTCGTGTTTCATCAAAAGAAAGATTATTTGTTAGGATTTTTTCTAGAATTCAAAATTTCAAACTCATTCAAATTTCCCGTCCTTCACAGAAAATTCCTCGACTATTTCATAATTTCCCTGGTCTAATAAAATCTCCGGAACACTCGAGGTTTTCCAGATCTGAAGACACCCTATTTTATCTTGGTAAATGGGGGGGGGGGNGGGGGGGGGGGTGAAAAATACTTGGCGGACGGTAGGAGGGACCCGGCGGAGTGGGACTACATCTTCATTTGCATTTGAAGCCTTCGCCTCCGGGCCCGTTCCCTCTCGCTCATTTTGAACTCTTCGTAGCGGAGCGGGTCCTGCTTCATGCGGGCCCTGTACCGGCGCATGCGGTCCCTGCCGGACGCCCGCATAGCGTCGGCCATCCGGTCCAGGTTGCTCTGCCGCTCGTCCCGGAAGGCGTTGGGGAACTGGAGCTCGAAGCGCTCGACGGTGTTGAGGCTGTCGTAGCTCCGGTTGCGGGCCAGGGAGCGGACCCCCAGGGGGACCAGGGGGCCGCCGGCCTCCAGGCTGCTGTCCGAGTGCTCGGGGTCGAACTGAACGCTCAGCGAGGACGCCAGGGCTCCGAACGCCGCCAAAGGGTGCACACCTGCGGAATAATACAATTGTTGATTAGTACGATTAAAAGGATATCAAATTCAAGGAAAAAACATAAAAAAATGACAAACTTAGTTTTAAAACAAATGATGGGGCAATACAGGGTGTCGCAAAAGTCCGCACCCCTCCCCCGGTAACTTTTGAACGGTTAGAGAAAGAAAAACGAAACTTTAGGAATATTTCTATCTCAAAGGGGACCATCTTCAGATGGTCTGGACCCCTTGAGGATGGTCCCCTTTGAGATAGAAGCGTTCCCAAAGTTTCGTTTTTTTATCTCTAACCGTTCAAAAGTTACCGGGTTGGAGGGGGGGGGGCTACGGACTTTTGGGACACCCTGTATAGGAAATTAAGGGGCGTGTCCCCTGGCCCAAAAGGCAGCTAGTGGGCCACCTGGGGTTTAGTAGTTGTAGCGCTTGCTCTATGATCGGGAGGTCAGTTAGGTTAGGTTTTTAGAGAGAATTGTGACAAGGACGAAAGTGTACGTTGTTCAAATGGGAAGTTTCACTTCATATAAAAAGAAAACTGGGTCATATTTCCAAGATCTGAATCTTTTCTGAGGACTATCATCTGTCGATAGCCGCAAAAATTATGGAAATTGCCTCATGTCATTAAAACAATAAAACGAACTGTGAGTGAGCGTATCGTAAGAATTGAAAAATATGTGACATAAAACAATAATATAAGATACAAGGGGTGTCCCAAAACAACTGAGACCAAGTCCGTAATTCGGAAACTATGATAGATATCGAAATGAGGTTTGTGAGAGGTTGTAGTTCATACTATTAGCTATCAAACCTTAAAATTTGAGCATTATCAGTTGGAAACTCACAGAGTTATAGCAATTTTTCGGGGACGAGTTGCAAATAACCCTACGGGATTTTTGAGAAACTTTTCATTTCACGAACTGTTCCTGAGCCGTACTGAAGATCGCGACGCTGTGGATCATGTGTGGGCACTGTTCTGTATGCAGGTTTTAACCTCTTGACATGAGCTGTGTGACGATACAAATTTTCAAGATAAAATATCGTCATTCGAGGCTTTTTTTCAAAAATTGATTGAACTGTTTTTTTTTTCATTGTTTGTTTGTTTGTTTGTTTGTTTGTTTGTTTTTTTTTTGTGTTTATTTGCCTCCAAGAGGTTTACAGAAGAGATAAAATTACATCACATCGAGAGATTCTCTCTTTGTTAAACTTTCTATTGTCTCCATGACAATTGAATGAACATAGTCAAATAACAGTTATTTTTTAAGGAGAAATCTTAAAATGCGACTGATTTTTTGATTAATCAAATTTTAGTGAGTGTAAGTTTAAAATATCAGAATAATATGCAATGCCGTTTAAAAAAAAAAAAAAAAAAAAAAAAAAAAGTTTCTTGCATTTACCCGCTTAAGGCCAAGTTACACATTGCCTCTTGGGATCATGAAGTCACTACAGTGAGCCTGAGAAGAGCTTGAGTCTTGATTTTGACTCCAAAACAATACATCTCATTTGATCACTTGAACTTGATAATACCTGGAGAATGGAGTTCGAGCTGATTTCATTGTAAAAAAAGAGGCGTGAAAAAAATTTGAGTCTTGTAGAAAACAAAAAGTAGGTTTAAAAAAACTTTATTTAGAACACATGAGGACAACTTAAAAACTATACAGTCAGTACTAATGTATTTTCGAAAGTTTTAACTAAAAAAGGAATGACTAATCACTTAATTATTATCGATACAATGGTGAATGGAAGAAAAAAAAGGTTAAAGAAAATAAATATAGTAACGATTCTGACACGAGATAGAATCTTGTCGCTTCAGCTTTGATTTAGAGTATCATCAGTGACATTCAACAAAAGGTTTACCATTGATGTCTTGACGTCAGTGATGTGATTAAAAGTTCATGAACCAAGGAAAACTGAGATTTCGACATTTTTTCTATGACATGGAAACCACTGGTACTGAACACATGTTTCTTACATGCATTCCGACTAAAGTGTACAATTATAATCACAATTTTTTTTCTTTACGGGGTTAAAGAAACAGTATTTTAAATTACAATGGGTAATCGGTTGGTAACTAACCGAGACCTTTTGAGAAGTTCGAAGAGAATTCACCTCGAAAAATTTGGCATGTCATGTCTAAGGGTAAAGTGTCTCTTAAGAGAATCTTTGCGGGTGGCGACGTATGGGCACAAATTACAGGGAAACTCAGGCTTGTCAACAGAGAATTCGCACTCATAGCGAATATGCCTTCCGACGGAACCTCGTGACTTGAAACCTTTGAGGCACAGCTCACACTGGAACGGAAAGTCATCGTCTAGTCTTGCCCCAGATCTGCCGCCACTCACGATTACTGGAACGAGAATATTCAGATCTCAAGTTAAGGGCAAGGATAAGGAAGCTGATTTCTAGAGGCTGTTACTAAAACTCAAAAACAGAAAATCCCATCTTTTTCTACTTAATGTGTGTCATTTTAGCTGCGACCGTCCAGAGAGGCGAGAGAGAAATATTTAGGGATAAATCACATTGTCCATAGGTCCACCCGACATAGGTACGACAAAGCAGCGATCAGACATAGCCAGCCAATAACGCTCCGCCTTTTGTTCTGTGTCATCTATGTCGTCCCGATAAACAAAAAATGTCAACAATCAGGCTGCAGCCTGGTTTTGTCCTAATATTCTTGGGGTAAGTGAAACGAAAAAATGCTCTTGCCGACTCCTTTGACCGAAACACAGCTTTTCGATTCCCGTCACCAGAGCCACCGTGGCGCGAGATTTGTAATTCAACAATTTTGCAGTCTTGGTCGAAAACAAATATGATCTTGTGGTGTTGATAAACAAGAGCCAACAGCCACCTCATCGAAAGTAAATGGATTGTCATTCTGAACGAATTCGCTTGCACTGAATTTTTATATTTTTATCAAAAGCAGACGGTCACATTTATTTTCAGCCGAAACTGCAAAAAAGTTGAGATTCAAATTTCGCGCCACTGCTCTGGCGGTGGGAACGGAAAGTTGCGCTTCGGCCAAAGGGGTCGGCAAGAGCAATCCTAAATTTCACGTATCTCGGTAGAGCTCGTTACGTGTTTTCAGATGGTTGACCTTACAAAATTTCATTTAATTTGAGAACGCGTTTGCGATTTTGAAGCGTGTGGCTAAGAATAACATGTCGCTTGAGCGAGTCCTTTCTCGTTGCTACGTATGGACAAAGGTTGCAGTGAAACTGGGGCTTGTCGACGTTGAACTGACACTCAGAAATACTGTGTCGCGTCAGATGACACTTGCGTCTGAACGACTTCGAGCAGAGGTCGCATTTGAAGGGCCTGTCCTTGGCTTTGGTTGAGAGGTGCTGCCTTTGCACCAAAGGCTCGATCTCCTCCGCATCCATCAATATAATCTCTGAACAGAAATTAAAACCTGACTCGTTAAAATAAAATTCAAGCTTTTTTTGGCGTTTGTCATTATCCGAAACTGACGGCTGTATTTCTAGTAGTTACACTAAGTAGCGCCTTTCCTACACGGAGAAAAAAACTTCTTGCGTGGGACCTGAAGTTTAAATCATATGGATCTCTGAAGTTTTCGGATTGAGCATCTGAACACTTTAGGTCAAGCTGCTGAGGTTTGGATCACACATCTGAAACTTCAGTTCTTACATCTGAAGTACTTCGGTTTTCTTATCCGAAAAACTTCGGTTCTCACATCCGAAAAACTTTGGTTTTCACATCTGAAGTACTTCAGATGTAAGAACTGAAGTTTCAAATGTATGATCCGAACCTCGACAGCTAGACCTAAAGTGTTCATATGCTCAATTCGAAGACTTCAGAGATCCATATGAATTAAACTTCGGGTCCAACGCACGAGGTTTTTTTCTCCGTGTAAAAAGGCTCCATAGGGATTAAACTGTTACTAAGGATCATATTCATTGTCATTCTTTGAACAGCTCCTCTTTGTGAGGCTCCATATTGACGTACTTCTAGTAAAATTCAACAGTATTAGTCTAAAAATGAAACCTTTTTCAGGGATTTAAAAATGAGTCGCCTCAATAAATACAAAATACGACACAAAATATGGTGCGAGTTTTTTTTACATGTTAAGGCGGATTCTCAGCTATCTTAACGTGCATCTTAATTATAAACTGTGTTCTTCATTATCTTGTGCTTTATGCGGTGGTGAACCATTGTAATGCAGTTCCAAAAGACCCATTTCCGAAGTTTTACAGCTGAATTTTACTATAGATTTGCAAAAAGTTTCATTTTAATGATAATACATTCAAGAATCCTTTCCCCTCTTTTAATCACAATGTAAATTATATAGAGCTTTCCTAAGAAAAGTAACTAAAAAATGAATGAAAGAAAAATAAATAAATAAATAAATAAATAAGTAAATAAAAACAGGAATAAAATACGTCGCAGGAAAGTAATTGCTCGTCATTTGAAAGCAGTTTGCGTGCTCCCTCGGCAGAGCGCAAAAATTATCATCAAAGGGAAAGTTCGTTAATCATGAACTTCATTAACACAATCGCAGCGCTAAACGCCTTCAGAACTTCATAATACTCCACGCTTTGCCAATAAGATAGTATAGTTGCCTATTCGACCCGAATACAACCCAACTACGGTTACTATGGTCGACGCGACAGTGAAACTGCAGGTATACAAATTCCGTTCATTATTTGAAATGGAAAAATACTTAACGTCTTAACGTCCTGAAAACGTACCTGATTTATCCTCTCTGTGTGAAGATGAATCTATGTATAAATATTTGAAGAATTAGCGTTAGTTTTCTCTTCTTTGATAAAAGAAAATGGGATCGGAGATTTTGAAACACCGCAAATGAGGTACGCATTCCTGCAGTTGTCACTATGGCACAGAAATGCAGTATCACGACATACTTACGCAAACATAAAGCTGCTACTGTACTGTACATTTGGGGGAGAGAAAATGGTCAATCTGTGGGCAAGGCAAGACGACTGCTACACTTTCCCTCTTCATCCTTTATTTCTGAATTTTATAATTTTACTTTCATCGCCAGTGAAATTGACGGCGAACTTTGAATTGTTTGCAACGTCATGAACTCCTTCTTAAAAAAAGTGAAAACATTCAGTTACCATTATTTTCTAATTAGATTACCCCATTGTTTTGTGATACTATTGATACTTTTGAGGCATCAGAAATAAGTCAAGTTGTCAAGTGTAATATTCTGCTACCAAAATCGTTTTGGTACATCGCCTCACACCTTGTCGACTACATTAATTTTCAAGTTTCCTAACACTTACATTTGAAGTAAGTAAGACTTGATCTGTATCACGCATCTTAAAAGAAAGCACTTACCAATCATACTCATACGTATCTGAAAGTTTTGGAAAGTGCGCATTTGATTAGGACGCTTCTCTTAATTACGGAGTGATAAAATGAACAATAAATAAAGACTGCAAATTCAAATATTTTATTATGCTAACAAAAATCTGGGGCCATGAGCCAGCAGTCCCTCGTGGACATTTTATGTATTTCATAAAGAGGGGGAAAAATGCTCTTAACATAGAATCTGGATACTTTTTCTGCTGCAAAAATTATCAACAACTTTATTGGTTTCAAAAGAGATTATTTACTTATTTTATTTTATTTTTTTTTTTCATACTTTGGTTTTTTTTCTACATTTGAAAATACAGCGGTGAGTGTACAAACTTGCTTTCTTTTGTTTTTTGCTTATTGCTTGCCTCTCTGCTTGAAAAAAAGTTCAAGATGACAACAGCTCATGATAAGAATAAATGAGTAAATTAATTAAAAGTTCATAAGATGTGATTGTACTTTTGAGTGATGACTTTTTTGATTCGGGTGCTTGAATTTTTCTATGATAAAAATAAATGGAAATTTTGTATTGAATTGTCTACACTTAAATGTAAATTAATTTCAAAGATACAACAGTGAATCAAGCGAGTTATTAGCAAAGAATCCTAATCAGCCTTAATTCATTTTCTCTTTTTGTTTAGAGGCAACCTGAGAAGATAGCGAAACAAACACACATAATTCACAATATGAAACATATTATGAATGTCATTCAACTGGATTTAAGTTTAAATCATCTCAGCTGAAGTTAAGTTCAGAAGGGCAAGAAAAGATTTAAAAAAGGTTGAAGTGTGTTATTATGCGTTCACAAACTAAAAATGAAAAAATATATTGTTTGTTTTTCTTCGCCAGCTACTGATCGAAGATGGAAGAATCAGAATTCGATTTGATAAATTGCCTCAGAGGTTCCAGGGGACTAGAATGAATACCAAATACTACTTATCAGACCCGACCCATCCAAAGATGTAAAATTAAATTTCACGGGATGAAATCTCATGTCAAGGAATTTTTCGATTCCGGGGGACTAGATTAAACACTGAAGATTACGAGTCAAACCCGACTCATCCAAAGATGCGACATTTTTCACAGGATGTAATCTGAAGTCGAGAAATTTTCGAGGCGCAACTCCCAACAAATATGCGAGAATTCGACGCAAACTTTGCCATTCTAATAAAGATACTATTTTACCGTTGAGTTTTTACCATTCTTACGCTTTATTACCCAGGAGTTCATAACCATGAGCTTCAAAAAATTCTTCAACTACCAAGAACTGTCATAACTTTTTTTTTTTTTCTTTCTTGGCTGAGAGCATTTCACGAAATTTTGTAAAAAATTTCAAAAGTTAAAAGTACGGTTCGCAAGAAATGACCGAAAATTTGACGAATCATTCCGAAGTTGGACTCCAGGTTATTTTTTCTATCAAAATTTCGGAACTGAATTCTCAGCATTTCGCTCATTTCACAACGTTTTTGCGTCTGTTAAAACAAGTTCTAAGAAAGTCATACACTTGAACAAAATGTAATTAAATTTTGAAACTCTGAATCTCAAAAGTGAGCTTCCAATATTTATAATTGTTGAAAAATTGTTCAAAAATTTTATGAGATCTTTTATGAGCTTCTGCACTTCTGGGCGTACCTAAAGAGGCCTACTTCCTACCATGCGCCAGGAATAAATGCCTTTTCAGGTTGCTTCTCCGAGTTGCGATATAGGAACAAATAATACAGGGAAAAGTGATTTTATCCACATTGTACTGGCATTCGTACTCAGAGTGACGTTTGAGGTTGCCACCACTGCAGAAGCTTTTGTGGCAGAGTTGACATCTGAAAGGTTTGAACGGCTGGCAAGAGCTCGAGGCTTCGTCGCTTGCGCTGGGTCCCAACGGAGAACACGGACTCAATCTCTCACTTTCGCCTATATTCGACAGCCCCCTTTCTGATGTGTAACATACGACTGGAACAAAAAACCAATGAGTCAATAATTCGAGCTCAACTTCTGGGTTGCTGATTGCTGTGATATATAGACAAAGGGATAGACAAAGGCAAAGTGGAGCGAACATGCTGATCAGAGCGATGAAAGCGGGTGGTTGCAATGGTTAATGGGGTTAAATAATAGACTATAACAGCTCGTGAGAGACCCTAAAATAAATGCATCATTTCACCCCTTAGTCTGTAACAACCACCCGTTCGAACCCATAGGATCGCTTTATTTTCTCTTTGTCTTTCGATTTGTCTATCAATATCAATAATCAGCCCGCTAGGGGGCGGTAACTTCTCATTCTTCCTAAAAACACACTTTCAAACTAGACATAGGAGATGCGATGTCATGAGCCACTGGAGAGATTCCGCAGTTTTAGAAGACGCGTATTTTATCAAAAAGTTTCATATACAAGGAGTCTTTTGTAAACATTTGTTGGGGTGATTTTCTACTGGCAGTAATCTCAAAAATACTCTGGGAAAAAATTGCAGTAGCCCTTAAACCTCACGGAATCTGAGTGAAATTGCCAAGTCAAGTGTAAAAGGCTGATTTGTGACATATAGAAAACGATTCAGATTCGATACAAATTAATTTTATTGAGTTCAAAAAAGTGGACAGATAAATTCGTTTAAACAATCTGTAAAAAAATTATCTTTAAGTAGAGTGTGATTTCGATGTCTGCATAGATAATGATATAAGATATCAGAGTCACTTTTTACATCCTTGTGCGAGAAGTTGTCAAAACGTTCTTTATAGTCTCCCTCTCGACTTCCGACAAAATTAGCTACTGAGAGATAATTTAAAACATGTTGAATACGTTAATGTACTTTAATAAACCACTATTTGTAAACAAATTTCAAAATTGAAAAAGAAGCTCTTTCAAGGTGCAGGAAAAGGATTATGATTTTTGATATCAGCTCTGAAAAATACTACAAATACACTATTTTGGTCATACCATTTTCTGAGGTCCTACATTGGTATTTTCGTGACAGGTCATTAGTCAAATCAAGCGTATTTTCAGATCCTTGGGTCCAATAAGCAAATATTTTGCTCAAGTTCCTACTATATCATCGGAGGAATCTGGGTCATTTTAGGATCATTAAAATTATTTCTAGCACTTGAATCAGGATTTATTGCAAGATTTTGTGGTGTTCATAAAATACTAGAATTCTTGCTACTTGCGATTTTCCCGGTTAAAATTGATGGAAAACATGTTGATCAGTAAAACTTAGGGACACTACCGTAATTGACCGATTTTCAAGTTCCAAATATTCAGAGCTTCATAAATCTGCAAAATTGTATCGACTCTCCAGAAATGTCTAACATGACTAATGACCTTGGACATATAACAAATATATTTTTTAAATTAAAATTTAGTTGCATTATGTTTCTCTTTTATTTCATTCATTTAACAAACACGCAAAATGCGTTACCATAATCATGATTGTATTTATTGATTGCTGCAACAATGAAGCCTAAAATGACCCGAGCGGGTTGACGGCGCGAGAACGTCTCAGAATGAGGTTATTCTATCGCTTTAGGGTTGAATGCTTTAAAATGAGGTGTCTATTTAGGTTTTCTTTCCTCGTCGCAACGTGACTACACAGCCGACACGGAAAGGTGCGTTTATCAACGCTGAACTTGCATTCATTCTCGATGTGACGTTTTAGCAGGCGTCTGTTTGAGTAGCTCTTGGGACACAACTGACAAGCAAATATTTTTTGAGGCAAAGATACCGAGCTGGAAATGGACGCTTCCTTCTTCGTTTTCCTGCCCAAAGTGCCGAGATCGAATTCCACTGAGGCTGCAACACGAAATGATCGGGTCAGAGGATCCAAATTGAGAAGCTCGATTCATCCGATGAGATAATATTGGAATGGGGTTGAAATCAAGACAGGATGTGATACTCCAGGTCTCTTATTTTCTGGATAGGCCAATTCAAAGAGTAGGAAAGAGAGATTCGTTCAGAGACTTACTGGCTCGGTTTCATCAACCATAAACTCATTTTTTGCGTTGGAGTTCGTCGCTTGACTGACCAAGGGACGTAGCTATACATTGAGGTGAGCCCGAGAAAGCATTGAGTTAAACACTGAAAAAAAAATCTCGGTGTATTCACTACGAAAGGGTAAAATTACCGAGAATTCAGGGCTCTATTTGGTGCCAGTTTTTTCTTGGTAAAATTACCATTTATGGAATTGGTAATTTTACCGAAAAATCTCGGTAAAATTATTGAACTTTCTCGGTAATTTTACTGGACCTTGGTAAAAACGCCAATATTTTTTATCGACTGTGGTAGAATTACCGAAACAGATTGGCAAAGTTACCGGGAATTGGTTACCAATAAAAGTGGTATTCTTACCTGAAAAAAAAACAGTAAAAATACCGGTTTTTTTGTAAGCTTACCAGTCTGTCTTGGTAAAATTACCAATAATTGGTAAAAAATTGAGATGGTAAAGGTACCAACGGACCTTGGTAAAAACGCCGAGAATCATTTTTCAGTGAATGGACGACAGGGCTCATCGCGAAATGCACTTACGCCTGAACAATAGGAGGGCGACGAATTGAAGCGCTGGGTGTAAAATGGGCACTCCTGGGCTACGGCGTTTCATCCGCTATGCTTACAAAGTTAAGAGATAGGTGGCATTAAGCTCATGATTGACGCGACCGACCCCAGATACAGTGGCGATTTTGCAAGTCGGCAGCACTGTTTTTGCTCCTTTTAAATCCATTAAAAATATCGATATTAGATGCGACAAGCTGCATCACTAAGAGTCGATCGTTTTGCATACACCGAGCAAAAAAATTGGTAGAATTTACCATTCCTTCACGCTATATTTTACACAGCGTGAATTTGAAGTCGATTCTGCCGGAGGAATGGTAAACTGTACCAGTAAATAGTGACGTTTACCCTTCTTCTGGCAGAGTTGACTCTGAATTGACGCTGTGTGAAATACAGCGTGAAGGAATGGTAAATTCTACCAATCTTTTTTCTAGGTGTACATTTAGATGGAGGAAAAACAGTGTTGACAACTTTTAAGAATCGCCACTCTCCAGACAAGATGGTGAAGGGAAAAGAGGGAACTTAAAAAACTGATGATAGCAAGGAATGGTGTTATTAGGGTACATTGGGTTCTTGTTTGGAGTGAGTGAGTATGAGGTGTCGTTTGAGGTTGCTCTTGCGCGTGGCAACGTAGGTGCAAAAACGACAGGGGTAGGTGACCTTGTCAACGCTATACTGGCACTCGGAGTTGATGTGTTGTTTATAAGTGCCTTTTCTCTTGAAGCTTTTTCGGCAAAGTTGACAGAAGAATGGTCGCTTGCCGTGAAATGCGTCGCTGTGATCCATCGATTCGCCATGCTGCTCCTCCTTGAAAAACTCGCTGAAATTCAAATACTCCGGCTCTGCCTTGACCTTGATAACTGAAACATGAATACTCTCGTCAAAAATCTTGATGCGGGAAAAAGCAAATTTTTGTTCGATAAGACTTGACGAAATTTGTAAGCAATTGACGCAGTCCAAAAACAAACAAACAAAGCATAATTTAATTTTTCTATTGTTCCCCTGGTTGACAAAGGGGTATGAAAGGGGTATTTCTATTGTTCCCCTGGTTGACAAAGGGGTATAAAAGGGGTAATTTAGTCGGTTTACGCTTTTCCTTGCCTTTGTTTTTTTGTTTACTTCATATTGAACTTAAATGAGTACTTGCAATAGCTAAGTTGCAAGCATTATGTCATGGATTAAGAGGATTTTTGGAGTTTTTTTTAGAACATTCTCAAATTCAATTAATTTTTTTATTGTGATGACAATAGAAGACATGGTCAAAATTTTAACTTACAATAAATCACAGATAGATTTGTTAACCTAAAAATAGTATCATTTTACTTTATCAGCTGATCGCAACAATTGTGAAACAAACTGGCATACGAATTATAGGTTTGCTCAAAAAGATAAAAATAAAAAACCAACTGAGCTGCAACAAAACAGTTGCAGTTGTGCGATGTATTGCAGACTTTTTACAGACAAAAAGGAATGCAGCAGACCTTTAAGGCTAAAATCAGAATTTGACTTGTACTTTATTCGGGAGAATAAGAAGACAAAATTTCCAGAGTTTGAGACGATTACGAAGAGAAGTGGAGAGGGAACACACAGACAATATATGCATCAATTTATTCAGGGTTACACGTGTTCCTGGCTTTCAAAATTCCCCAACTTTTCAGGGATTTTGAGCATAAAATTTCCTGACTTTCAAAATCGCATTCTGTCATGAAAATTATTTTCACGAAAAATGTATTGAATATTACCTAAAGTTTATTGAAATTGAAAAAAATGCAATGTTTTGGCTGGAGGAAAAAATTACGGGGCTTTGCAGGAAAGTTCACAGACTTTTCCACTGCTCTTCAGGGTTGGGCAACATTTGCTCAGTTTTCGAGCAGCCTGATTGTTGATATTTTGTGTTTGTAGGGTAGACAAAGATGACGTAGGTTAAAAGGAGCGTGATTGGTCGGGTATGTCTTATCGTATATGTCACTGCTTTATCGTGCCTGTGTCAGGTGAAATAGACGACATACCGTCGAAAACTTGAGAGGTGCCTTCAGCTTGCCGTGAGTTTCACCCAACATAGGCACGGCAAAGCAGCGGTAAAACATAGCCGACCAATCACAGTCCGCCTTTT